ATGAGTTGATCACTTGATTTTAATAGTGTGTGACCCTGTGTGACCCCCTTATGATATTCATGAATACAAACCCTAGTGCACGGAACTCAACTTTCTACAACATCTCTGTCCATCTTCAAGCAATCAAGTTTACAGATGGTGAGCACATTCAAACCATGGAATCATTTATCATTATACAATGTTATACAAGATGGTTGAAAAATAAAAATACCACTGCGCTGAGTGTTTCATAGCATCACAATAACAAAATACATGATTCAATTGATTCAATCATTTACATTTTAACCCATGCAATTGTTGAACCAATCAAAATCGTGAATTTGATAATGTAAAAATAAATGTTAACATAAACATTGAATTGATTCATTTTGTCAACAATCACTTCACCAACAGTTGTTTTGTTAACAAATGGTTCGAATTTAAGAAATTGGAAGCAACCATTTGAAATAGTCTAATAAATTAAATTGTACTACTCGAAAATGTATTTAAAGGGTTTAGTTTTTGACAGCATAGTGGAAATTTGAGATGTTACACTAATTTTTTATATTGTGCAATGTAGCTTTACAATACACAGCAAACATTCTGGCAATAAAAAGTAAGTGATAAACTGGATTTGAATTGGATCTGAACTTGATCTCCAATTTAGGGAGGTAACAACTATATACTGGCGAAGTTTCAGAAGCAATAAGTTCTGTATAATGTTTCATGTAACAATAAACTTCCACTATGCTGTTTTCGACTTGTTTGAAGAATAACTCTCTTCCTAACTCTTTTCTTGACCATATCTCTTGATATAATCAAAATAACCTTAATATAATGAATGTCAAAATGATCATAAACGTGACCAATTTAAAATATATGATCAAGAGAAAACATGAACAATGTATGAAAAAATCAAACTAATTTATTTAATAAAACAAAATTTACAACCCAAAAAAATTTTTTTTTTTTGCATGTAATAAAATTCCATTATTAACTATTAACAATCCAATTATATAGATCTTGACTGATCAAACCCACCTATATGGTTATTGAATAATCAACAATAATAAATAAAATGTTAATTAAATATATTTTACAAACATCTTCATAGATCTTGACTTTAAGACTTACTTTGATCAAACCTGCCCATAATAACAAATGTTCATTTTAGAAACTTGATTTGCAAATAGATCTTGACTTTAACACTTACTTCTACCAATATAATCATTTGAATAATTGATAAAGTGCTCATTAAATACATTTTACAAACAGATTCATAGATCTTGACTTTTAACAATTATCTTGATACAAGCTATTCAATAATTGATAAACATTCATCAGTATATTTTACAAACTTGCTTTGGAAGTTTCATATGTCATCATATGTCTTGTATTTAACAGTTTACTTTTTTCTGTTTAATTTTATTTTTTTTAGATTACACAAATAAAAATCATGGAATAAATTTAATCCAATGAAATGGTTGTTATCCCATAAAAGAATAAATTTCAATTGTTAAAAAAATCAATTAAGCATTTCTTCTTTTATACTTCGTCTTTCGGCTAGCAATTTCTATAATAGATAGAAGTAGAATTTTAATAAACAAAACATGAATAAGATATATTTGGTATTTTTAAAAGATAAAATAATACCTCTAAAGGGCACCAAATCTTGCAATATTTAATAATTCCCATTTTTCCGAATATGATATGGGTATTTTAAAGCAAAATATTTCATAAATTTTATAAGTTTTTACACGAATAATGTCAGTAAGATATACTGAGATTAAATATTCTAAAACATAAGAGTTAGATCAATTAGTATCTTATAATTAGCGAAATATAACAAATAATATGTATATACTACTTACTGTATCCATGGATTCCTACAGATTTAAATTTCATTGCCATGATAGTTGTACAATTGTTATTATGTGTAAAGTGGTAATTCAAGTCGTCTACTCCATTTTTTGCCAGTTTAACGAAATCATCTAATTGGTGTGATAGTACAAATTCCATAGGTCCATATGATTGTTCATATAGAATCGTCGCATCCTTGTCTTGGTATAAAACGGCATCGGTTTCTGCTTGCATGTCCAGATTGTGATGGTTTTTGGATATAATTAATATTATACGCTCTGTCATTATGTGCTTCATTCGGAGTTTCGCCAATATAACCAAAAGTGTATTGTAAGAAATGACATAAAATAGAGGAAAATTTTATTACACAATACTTACAACGTGATTCCAGAAATTTCCTTCCCAAAAAAAATTAAAAATAAATCGAGTATACGATAAACTGTTTGAGTAGACCAGTTTTTCTCGTCTCCATCCATTTGTAAGCCACCATAATGGTAATAAAGGAGAAAATTTCTCTAGTCCCTAATAACAATGGACTCGCATCATAATTGAGTGACTTTTCTATCTTAGAAAACGCGTTTTTAACATCACCACTAAAAAGGTCTTTGAGATATTCTTTTATATTTTTGGGAAGATTAAATTCAACCGCTGTATTATCATCAGCTATTACGTCAAATAAACCTTCTGCATTTTCTTTGGAAAGTTCTCTAAATGGCTTACAAAGTGGATATATGTTGCGACCCCTCAACTCGAGAAATTTTGTTTTTTCAATATTAATCTATACAATATAATAGGCTTGTCCTTAAGCCAGTTTTGATCCAAGGAAGAAAATATCACATGAATTGAAAAAGTGCTTGCCTTTTTAGAGGCTGTTCCTGTCAAAAAAAGGGACATAGATATCAACAGCATTCCCAATCAGACATTGCACAGAGGAATCAAGGTTGGCTCGTTACATACCTGAACATCTAAAGAATTATTATAATCTTCATAATAATCCGGAATTTTTCTCCCACTTCTAGTTTGGCATTTATTTCGTTTGGAATCAGATGATGATGACTCATCATGATCATGATTTTTTGAGACCTATATGTTGAAAAGAAAAGTAAATTTACCACGCAAAACATCAAAATTTTTGAATACTCAAAGTGATAGCACTGTCTGAGAAACGCTTTGTAACTATGATAGTTGTAGACCTATATGTCATCATTTATTGACTCGCCTCATCCTTCTCGCCCTTCCCAAACATCAGATTGTTTTCTTCATCTGTGCTTGCTTCAATACGTCCATTTTGAGAGGGAAAGATATTGGAATAGTCTTCAGAGAATAATGTTTTGGCGTTATATTCTGCAACTTTGCTGTACATTTTCATACTACCAGTGAGATATACTCGCTGTGCTTCCATCTGTTTTGCAAGAGTTTTATCATTATTTCATATGATAATGCAAAAAATTAACACACAAAGATGAGAGGCACCGAAACCTTTTTCCGCTCATAGATTATTGATTCCCAATAGATCTGCAAACTTTTGTTTGTACGTTGTTTTCTTACCTACAGGAATATGAAGGCAAAGGTGAGTGTATAATTTCCATATCATGTATTCATATATTTTGCAATATAGGGAGCTTCTGTCTATTTTTGTCTGGATTAGAAGTATTGGTTTTTGTCCCAGCCCGAGTAATAGTAGTGGCAACTCCGCTTATTTTTGTCTGGGTTAGGAGGTCTCGGCTTTTATTCCGGCCCTACTATTGCGATTTACTTTTTCTTTCTTGAGATAAAGCATTTGCTCATGACACTGTGTATTATCTTTTATGTAGAAGACAAGAGCTTGAATGTTGTTAATTATAAGGTTAGAAAAGTGCTATTATTTTTTTTAAATAGCTATCACAACGCTTACTGTGATAACCAGGGTACGGTTCAATGTCGTTGCTCATGATGTCAATAAACTTGATCAACAATAGCAATAGGGGTTTGTTTTTCTGTACTTATTTAGGTCAACTTTGAGCTACTATCTATTTTTGGTACTGACCTACATAGTAAAAATTTTACGCGTTTTTTTAAAGATATAATAATAATAAATATTATGCTTTTTTTCCAAATTATGCTTTATGTGATCATAATTTTCGGTAAGTTTGGGGCCAAAATTAACATTAAAAGATAATATACGTAAAAATTTAATCTTTTAATTTAATCTTCTTTTAAAGCCATGCATTTATCACTTAAGATACTTGAAAAGGACCTTTTCACACCAACACCTGTACTGATTTTTTAAATCTTCTGAACTTTTTACATTCCCAGGAAAACTTTGTTTGACAAATTTGATACCAAATATTTCAAGGGTTTCGTCGTATGCAAGATAATGGTTCTCTTTGGTGAGATTAACTGAGGGTGCAGCTTGAAGTCGCTCTGGATTCCTACTGACATGAATTAAAAACCTGGTGAGTGTATCAACTTGTCACGTATTCCATTTAAATGTGGCTACACTATAAAACCTCAGGATCCTCATTAAGCAATTGCCATCACTATTGCTGGTACATCAAGATCGCTCTCAACTTCTCATTCCACTCTACCACCCTTCTTAAGAACCTATACACATACACAAACCATTAACACCATATACCAAACAACGTACTCTCTATATCAAAAAGATCCAATGGGAGTCTCTCCTAGTCAGGTTTAACAAAGTAGTTGGTAATTAATTGTAGGATAGATTTCCGAACAAATTTCTTGATTCAATCTTAGAAGATTTAATTTTAATAGAGCTTTATCTTGATGTTGTTGTATACAAACAATAGTATTGTGACTAAATTCATGAGTTGTTTCTATGAGATTTGAATAAATGGTAAATTTCATCTTTTCATATGGCATCATTATTACAGAGTCATGTTTAATTTTTTTTTTAAAAAAGTAAAATATTAAAAATGAATTGGGGGATTTTCTTTAAACAATAATTATTGTCAAATTTGCTTGAATAATACTAATTCATTCAGAGGATCATAATGATTGTTTGATGTTCAGTTGATTGTTTTTTTATGTGCATATTAATATACACATTTACAAAGTTTTTTTATAGAAAAATTTTCGGTGGATGTTTTATTTATATAATGTAAATAAATAAATTATATTGAAATTTTATAACCTTGATAATCAATTGAAGCAAACTTTTTATAACTTTAAAAAAAGGAAGTTATCTTTTTTAGATAAAAAATTTATTTTTCACACATAGAAACTTTATAAATTAATTAATTTATTGTAGAATTTATATTGAGAAATCCAATATTCTTAATAAATTTTAAAAATAAATTTTAAAAAGAAAATCTAATATAATCAGAAATTTTAAATATATAATTGGGTCATCACTGTGTTGCTATTTTTATCATTATTACTAGTTATTGGACTAGAATTTTGATAATGAAACCTTTTATTTTTGTTTTTGTTTTTATTTTTATTTTTATTTTTTGAAGAGTTTGTTGTTAAAGATCTCTTTTCCTGACGTTTTTCCTTCCTTGACTTTGGTTGGGAATTGTAGGAGATTTCCTTGTTTTCTTCATTTGATTTCCCATCTTTTTCAGAATTCAAAGAATCTATTGAAGATTTTTTTTGTGGTGACTTATGATTCCTTTCAGATGATGATTCTATTTTCATTTTGTTTTCAATTCTATCCTTTTCCATACCATCTTCCATCTCGTCATCCTCCATCTCATCATTTTTCACCACATCATTTTCCTTCTCATCAATTGCCTCATCGTTTTTCATCACATCCACTACATCCTTCACCACATCCTTCACCACAACACTCACCATATCATTCACCATATCATTCACTATATTGTTCAGATCATCCTTATCCTTGCCCTCTTCATCATCCTCCTGTTCTTCTTTTTTCTCAATTTTATCATCACTTAAAACGCTAGCTTTGGAATTTAATTCTTTGTTATTTTGCAAATAATCTTTAGGTGTTAGTATTAAATTATCTTCATCCAAGAATCATAAAAAAAAATTGTAATTAATTATTTTGGAAAAAATGTATTAAAAAAATTGAATATATTGTATGTTGATTTTTATCACCTTCACGATTTCCTATTTCAACTTCACCCTTTACTATTCCTTTGTCATCTTTATTTTTAGTTTCGTCATCTCCACCGTCAGTTTCCTTTTGTTGTTTTTCTTCAAATAATTTATTAATAACTTTATCTTGATCGTTATCCAACTTTTCCATTAGTGCTCGAATCTTTATCAGATTATTTACACCGGTTGAATTCATAATCATCTTTTCAATTGAATTTGGAAGTAAATCTGGTGGACCATTTGTTGGAGACGAATTCATTGGCTAATAATATATGTATATACATTACTATTATTATTATTAACCAATTAATTATTATTTAATTAATTATGATGAAATATTACCTCTATTGTTATTTCTGGGTCACCTTCATGTGGTCCGTCAATTTTTCTCACCGAACTATAATGTTCCCAATTGTGATAGCTAATAAACATACAATTAAAAATCTAAATTTCACTAAGTATAATAAAAATAATAATTAAAGAAATTTTCTTTTCCATCCAACAAAAAGATTAACTATTCAATAATAATTTTATCATATTATATGCCCCCAGGAAAATTTATTTTAATTTCATCAACTTTTTTTTTTTTTTTGAAGGTAAAAAATTTCAAATAAGCTTACGCTATATGTAATGTCTTTATCCGATCAGAATCTTCTATATTTTTTGATTCATTTCCTCTGATCACAAAAATTGTATTGGGTTGATATATCTTTATGTTTAAATTATGTAGTTGAGCAAATGCAACCAATTCCATATTTCCGCCATATGTACCATCCTTTTTCATTTGTGATAAATGATAATCAAAAGTATTGTCATCTTCTACAAACATTTGGAAGTGATCTCGTTTTTCTTCCAAATATGCACAAATCTCTTTTCTTATTTTTGAATGAAACTTAGTATGTCCATAGAATTGATCAGAAAGAGATCTAAACAACAACAACAAACAATCGTTATTCATCATCATTATTTTTTAGGAATAATAAAAAATAAAAAGAATACCCGAATAAACAATTCCCGTCTCCAGCAATGTCTTTACAGTATAAACGAATTCCTTTAAGTTGTTGCTCAAGCTCCCTTTGTGCGATTGTATACTCGTCGGCAGATAATTCATGCTATAAAAAAATTATTTATTTTTTAGATTAACTTGATAAAATTAATCTTCCTCTATACCAAAAAAGAAAAAATTGCTCACTTTTTTCGTTTTATTTCTGCGTTGCGGAGCGCCCCCTCCTGTCTTGATTTAATAGATATTTTGAGTAATTGATTTATTGCAGTAAATAGAAAATTTGATTATTTAAATTTTAAACTTACATACTTGATTTTTTTTTGACTTATTACCATTATTCGCTTTACCTTTTGGACGTTTATTTTTTTTTTTGCTCATATTTTAACTAAATAATTGTATCAGTATATGCTAATGCTAAACCAATTTGTGTATTTATCATTTTTTTTTGAATTAAACTTTTAAGAATTGTTGTTGATTGGCTAAAATTTTTATATATCCAATTTTTTACAGATCGTTATTTTATTATATTTATTATTTATCATTCATCAAACAAAAAATAGATTTACGTCTATGCTTAATTTTTTCTTTAAAAGTAAGAAAATGCTTGATGAAAAGTCAGAAAACAAAACCTTTAGCATAGAAGGTAAAGGTTTAAAATTAAACACTGCTGAAGATGTTCAAGAATACATAGATTCTATAATGGAAATGGAAAATTTGGAAAATGTGATATTGAGCGGAAATACTTTTGGAGTTGAAGCAATTCAAGCATTAGCCAGTGCACTAAAAGGGAAAAATACAATAAAGGTATCTTAATAATGTTATGAAATATTTATTTATTTATTTTCTTTGATAAAAAGCATTTTTCTTACTTGTGTATCCTAACAATAACAACAATTCAAAATATGTATATATTGTGCATTTTAAATTTCAGATAGTTAATGCATCTGATATATTTACAGGTAGGCTAAAAGAAGAAATTCCAGACTCTGTGAAAGCTCTTTGTGATGCATTGGAAGATAAAGAAATAGTAGAACTTAACTTCAGTGACAATGCATTTGGGCCAGCTGGTGCAGAACCTATGACCGATTTTCTTACTAATAATCGAACACTTCAAGTACTAAAGTTAAATAATAATGGACTTGGAGTTCAAGGTGGAAAACTGATTGGTAAAGCGTTGCTCGAGGCAGCAAAAAAGAATCATGAAGAAGATCGAGAATCTTCGCTTAAAGTATTCGTTGCAGGTCGTAATAGACTTGAAAACGGGTCAAGTCAAGCACTTTCTGATGCGATTGCAGCACATAATACTTTGGTTGAGATTCGATTACCACAAAATGGTATTCGATCTGAAGGTATCATCGCCCTTTCAAAAGGCTTGGCAGAATGTAAAAATCTAGAAATCATAGATCTTCAAGATAATACATTTACCAAAACAGGCTCTGAGTCATTTGCTGATTCATTGACTGAATGGAAAAATCTAAAAAGTCTAAACATTGGGGATTGTTTATTGTCGCAAGAAGGCGGTATTATTATTGCAAAAAAACTTTTACTAGGCAATAATAAAAATTTGGAAACTTTAAATCTTCAATATAATGAAATTGATAAACATGGAATTTCTATCTTAGCTTCTGCAATTTCTACACATCTTAAGAAATTAGCTTCGTTGGAACTTAATGGTAACAAAGTTTATCCAGATGATTCTTCAATTGAGGAAATAAAAAATGCCTTGGAGGAAATTGGTCATAAGGATGCTTTAGGTGAATTGGACGATATGGAAGTTTCAGATTCTGAGGAAGAGGATGTTGATAAAAATGAGAGTGATGCAGATTAACAATAATATTATTATTAAATGTATTTTTTTTTAGAATGCAAAAATTTCTATTCCTCAAACATTATTTTGTATGTATGTACATATTACGGCATTATCATCAATAACACTTGGGAATTTTTTTCAGAGATTTATGTCTTTTTTGACTGCATATGAAGCCCGTAAATATCCAATGCTTGTGAGGAAATTTACGATTTTTTTCAAGAGAAACAGAATTTAATGTCAACGTAAAAGTTTTTCCTAAGAAGTGACTTGCTTAATTTTTGGATGTTTTTCTTGAGTAGAAATTAAAATTGAATCAGTTTAAAAGGTTACTTTGACAATTAGACGAGGACGATTGTTTCCACCTCCTAAACTATTGAAGCAAACTTCTTTCCGTTATTTTTTTCCCGCTTATCAAATATCAAGGCGTTGACTAATTAATATAATATAAATATCGTTTGATAAGTTTTTATCATTAACAAACAATTGAATTCAAATGAACTAAATCCTCTTTTACATTTCTTTTTTGTAATTCACATCAAGTTCGCGAGCCTGAATAATGTTTTCATTTATATCACTACTTACGCTATCATTATTTATCAACGAATGATCATTTTGTTTTTCAAAAAATCGCCTTTTGATTTGTGACTTTTTATGACGAGTAGCTCTTTACAATTCTAATCCTCGTTTTGAACCTTAATTTCTAAATGTTCAATTGCATTATCCAATGCCTCACTATTCCTATTACCTAGTGTCACTTTCTGGCACGAAATATCATTTCCTTATTGACTCTTTCTGAATTTCTTTTATCATTTTTCTTTCTAGGATTTTCTCTTTGCTGATAGAAATTTTTTTAAAGGTGAGGGCAACAACTCCTTTTCCCCCGGGTAACTTGCAGACTTCAGTAACCATTCTAGCAAATGAAAAGGTCAAGTCTTGCTCAGTTGTTTTATAATGTGTTAACAAACCAAAGATTCAAAATCAATAATCCATAAGAAGAAAACCTACTTGCAGGTATTAGGCAGGCAGTATTTATTATCAAACAAACAAACCTAAACTACTAATTTCAAATATATACCATAATGACCCATTATAGAGAGTGAACTGTGTATTTGTTTTGTTAACATTAAATATTTATAATAATAAGAAATGTCAAAGGTAAAAATCAACATAGGTACATTGGTAAAAGGAAATTTTTTATTAATTCTGTATATACATGGAAAAGAGGTTCAATAAAAATATCAAGGACTTATTTTCCAACTCCGCCAAATTTTCGGGCTTTTTCAAAAATTAGTTCCTTGAAAGTTTCATTCTTAATATTATTACTTGGGCGATGCAATTATGAATCATCAAATGCATTGCATAATCGACACGAATATTATAATAGACATGATTACAATAGTGTGAACAAAGATTCGCATTCAAGGATTAAAAAATAAATAATGTTTTGATTCAACCAAGAGAAAACATATTAAATATTAAGGATAAAATCACCAGAGCAACTTCATGGGAGGAAAACACTTGACTCAAAACCATTGATGAGTATTACCTCACTCTGACGCGGATCTATCTGTTATTATATTAATAAGGTAAAATCTAAATCAATTAATAAACAAATTAGTTTTTAAACAACTAAATCAAGGGAAGTGGTGACTCAAATAACTTTTTTCCTTGGTGATTTTCTTTTTTAATTTAATTAGTGTTGTTATTTTTGAAATTTATTATTATTTGCTCCTCCCAATAAATAAATATTTAATTAATTACAAAATTATAAAATTATTTTGAAAACTTTGACTTCTTATTTTGACCATTTTCTTTTGCCATTAAATTTTTTCGCTTAACCTAAAATTATATTCAAAGGATTAATATATTTTGATAGAATAATAACAATAATAACAATAATAATAATAAAATAATAATAATTCTCGAATATTTACAGAGTTCACTAATAAAGATAAACTTGGATCTTTAAATGGTCCCGTTGACGAAGAAGAAGGAAAATTCCCAGTTGAATTTTGCTAAAGATCAAATGAATGAATTCAAAAATTAATTAAGCAAATAAATTATATTAATGCATATTTATATTTATATATCGGTATACCTTAGAATTTATATCATTATCATTAAATTCAGATTGACGTTTTTGACGCTCTTCCATCAATTTTCTCATGTTTTTAGTCTTTTTAAAACTATATAAAATATATATATTAAGGAAATAAGATGAATAAATGCATGAGTTTATGTATCACGTGAATAAAGATAAAGGATACTGAGGGCTAGTAGGATCTATGGCAAAGTGATATGAGTCGTGTAAAGCAACAAATCGTGTGTCTTCCAAATCAATTTCGAAATTATCATTCTCCTCCTGTTGCTCCAGCCGAGTGTTTTTTTCTTTCTTTTTTCCCTTTTTCTTTTCTTTTTTAGCAATTTCTTTCATATCGAAATGTCTGTGTACAACATCCCCATCACCAACAAAGTTATCTTCATCATCCATCAACAATAATTCTAATTCTGCTCTATTACGATCAGCCTCTTGTTGTTCTAGTTTTGAAAGTTTGTGTGTATTTTTTTTTGATTTTTTTTTGGATGATTTTGTAACATTAAATCTTGTTTTGGTAATTTCATCATCATCACTGTCATATTTTTCCTTATTCTTTTTATACTTATTATTTTCTAATAATTTTCCTTGTTGTTTTAAAATTTTCTTTTCTTCCTTATTATTATTATTTTTATTAATACCTAACAACATTTCATCTTCATTATCATCTGAATCATTGTGTGAATCATTTAATGTAGCGGATTCACTTAAACCAGGTGCAAATGTGATCTGAATATCTTGATCTTCATCTGATTTATTTTTTTCTAAATCAATTAATAGGTCCTTATATTTTTGCCTTGCCTCTTCAACCTCATTATCTGATTCTTCCTCTTCGCTAGATGAAGCAAGATATGCCTTAAAGTCCATTAATTCCAAATCATTTTTTGAAAATTTTTGTTTAATTATTTTTACACGATCAGGATCATCATTGTCCCATGTTAACTTCACATTAGAATGTTGCAATGCCTATTTTGTTTGATTTCATATTTATTGTTTAAAAGATTCAATGAGTTTAAAATTATAAAGTAATATAAAAATATACCTTACATCAGTCACAAAATCAACTGGTTTATAAACATCCGGCACTTGATAACATTCATCCCTATAATAAAATTTTTATAATAATTAATTATTATTAAAAAAAAAAAAGATTCTGTTATTTTAATTCATAAAATTAATTAATTAATTAATTAATAAATAAATAAATTATTAATAATACTTTGGTAAATCATTGAACTCCACATCATCAGGAATAAAGCGTAAATCGAAAAAATTTCCAGTGCTTTCAAATTCTACGCCATCACAGTTTTGATAAATGCACTTGGCAGTCTTGACTGAGTCACAATCAACAACTGCATAATAGTACTTTAACCTTTCTAACTGATACTTTCTCAACGCACCTTCATCAAACTCCTTGCCATCACTCACATTTATTATGTTCTTTTCAGTAACCTCGCCGTCATTGTCATCATCATTTGAATCATCACCTGATTCATTTAAATTAGAATCATCGGTTTTTTTAAATATTTCTTTTGGTGGTCCTTCAACCGTTTCCTTTAAAAAAAAATCAAATTATTTAATACATTAATGAATGTTATTTATTTGATTATTATAATTGTAATTACGAATAATCACCCTATCTAATCTTTTTTTGCCAAATTCAGAAGGATATATTTTAACAGATTTTATCAGTGAACCTTTAGGTACAAATGTAGCAAAAACTTTCATAAGGTCTGCTGATTTTATATTATCCCAATCCATATTTATAACCGCTAATCGAAGAGTTTCTTCCCCATATGGAATTTGCTCTTCTTCTTCAATAAGCTCTGAGTTACCACTGTGGGTTGGCTCATCATCATCACCAGAAGAAGAAGAATCTGATGACAATATATCAGAAACATCATCATCTTCAGAAGGAGATGACGATGAATCAGAAACATCTAATTGATCATCATCCAAATTGTAATATCTTTTTAATTCTTTTGCTGAATCATCAATTGATTTCAATCGTCCACGTTTATCGAACTTTGCTTTTAAGTAAAAATCAATTATGATCGTAATAATTAATACGAAATGTAAAAGATTATGGATGATGGTGATAAGTGATACTAACAAAATACGCCAAACTCCTTGGAATTGAGCATATCAGAAAAACGTTCATCTACAGTTATTTTCATATCCTTTTTTTTAGGACGTCTAAACCTTGGATCTGTAAGTGAGTGAGCGAAACGCGGGTCTTCAATTGCTGCTGTTGTTGCTGGTTTGGTATTTTTTTGGGCATTTTTCTTCCTTGTGTTATCGTTATTATTTCTTGAAATTGAGTTATTTTCTGACATTTTCAAAAATTTTATTTCAATATTTGTGTCGCACAAGATTTGAGTCTAATTTATAGATCATTTTTAAAGGCTAGTTTTAACACAGGTGAATCTAATTTAGAAAAGCTATTGTTACATATATCTATATATATTTTTAATAAAAATTTTCTTTAACAATAAAAGTCTGAACCATTTGTTATTACATGGAAATTTCCATCAGGTTAAATTGATGATTATCAAATTAAACATTATGGACATGATTGTTCAATTATTGTTACTTTACCCATATGATGGTAAATATTTATGATAATTATCATTATTATCATCATTATCATCATTATACATGTAATTAGTTACTTTAAGAAAAATCATTTGGAAACCCCAACTAATATTACACTATACCTATAAATGAAGTGGCTAGAGTAGATAAACTCCGTGAATTTGGATCTGGTGATATTTTGAATAAGCGTGTAAGTTACAAAATTAATGGTGGAATATAGCCACATTGTGATTGCCTTTGGCAATAAATCTGATATGATGAATTTATTGGTTTTCTTGTGTGGGTGACGAGAATACATATTCTACAAATTGATCTTTGACGTCTGGTTGGAAATTTACTTATTTTGTCATCCCACACCAATGCCGAAGGGATGATACATATGATGGTATATAAACGGTGAATGGACCTCGTCTTTGCGGTTTCCATACTTTAAAGGGCGTGGGCAGTAGCTGTTTATATACACTTAACATCATACGTGGATTCTACTAAGGTTATATTTCCCTAGCTAGCTTGCTTTTCTTGAAAATTATATGAAAAAAGAAAACCAATCTGATCACGCGTATATATGATTGATCATCTATCTTTTATATTTTCAATTAATAATTTTTCATCTTTCGTTTTTCTAGATTTCTGAGGCATTTGATTATATTTGTTCATCATTAGAATTAAAATGCTTTGGTAAGTTAATAGCCGGTTATGTTTATTATCAGCGGAGCTGTTCACTTTGTGCATTTAATTTTATACTGAATATTTTTTATCTACAAAATGTGGAGGATCCCTGGGTTGTTAATGCGACAAAAAATTTTGAAACATTGAAAAATGAGGTTCATAAGATCGCAATATTGGCGTTTGGGGAAGAGAAAACAATGTGGGAAGCTGTTGAAGGTGAGTTACGCAAGATAAAAATAGAAGACCTAGGATATGACCATCCATTATGTTCAGGGATACTGGATGATGGCTCCGTACCTTTTACAACTATGCCAAAAGAGTTGTGCAAAATTTTCAATGCTCCAAGTAAAAAATTCTTGATTCCAAATAACGATACATTAAAAAAATTCTGCAAAGATTTTGTTCGGAAAGAGAAAAATGGGCACTCTGAGAAACTCCCTAAAAATTTTGGCAGTGCAACATTTAGATGAACCGGAAAAACTAAAGGAAATAACAAATGAAATGTTACTAGCGTTGAGACGAGTTTGGGGATCTCCAAAATGGAAGGTGTATATGGAAGCAGAAACCGTAGTAAATGAGGGGTCATATGTGTGTGAGGTTATTTCACCACTACTGAATATTGCTGTGAGTGAATTGCCCGTGGATACTGATATATGGGGTGTATGGTAAATATAATTGATTTTCCTTGCATTCCAAGGCCACCTTCATGGTTAAATATTAACATTCTGATTAAAAAGGGCAGAGCAAGCCAGTTCAGCTAGTGTACAACGCGTCGGCCCGATTTTATGGTTATCGCACAAATAAAAAATAAGGAAGTTGAAGTTGGATACCTTGAAACGGGCCGACCGAATTCTCCTTCTGATAAACAATTAAAGGATCATAAGAAACTTAATAGACTTGCAAAAGATGCCATTGATACAACCACTGATTCCAAAAATGATAGAGTGTTTAGGGGGCTGGCAATGAACTATATGCTGGCAATATTTACAATTAATGTCGCTGGCGATTTATTGGAAATCCGTTACATGCGTAAGGAAGGTGGTTTATATAAAATTTGTTACTAGAGGATGCAAAATCCCTTTACATATCCCATCAAGAATAGAAGATGTCTATCAACTTATACACAGCGAGTCTCAATTTAACGGATATTTTTTTCCAGAAAATTTATCCGTTAAATCGAGAGATCCGCTAAATCGAAACTTATG